TTTTTTCTTTTTTTTTTTTTTTTTCCTCCCTATCAAAATGTAAATTCCAGAAAATAAGCTTGACAGTCATATTCAAAAATAGCAAGGTATTGTGTTTGACTGGTTTCAGGGAGAAGGAACACAGGATGAAACATTGTAACTTTGAACTTATTTTTAGTTTGCTGATGGGAGAGTGCCGAGAGACTAGCTGTCAGAAGTTGTGGCCATCGGCTATTTTTACAGGATTCCTGTATCTAACATTCTGCCAACTCATGGCACAGTGCCACATCTGGGTGTTTTCACCTGCGTGAGATCACACGTGTAGCTTCTCAGACAGTCTCATAAGTCCATGAGCAATGCATATATGAGGACATTGGTTTTCATGGTGCACAAAGTATTTTTCTGTGCCTGATAAAGGAGTGATTTTTTGCAAGTTGATGGGTGCTGTTCAGGAATATTTAGCTAACATCTGTTCCCAAGATTGTCCCAAGAAACTGGCTGTTTTACAGTTTATGACTTAACTGGAACTTAACAAGATGAAGGTATCTGGTTATCAGGTATATTTAGTACTGTTTTGTCTGATGATCATGGAGGGCGATGACCGAAGTGTAGTCATAAGCCAAAGAAAGGCTGAAAAGATTTACCTCTTTGGCTTACCAGGCAGACCAAGTTTGATCGTGCTGGGCATAGTCACATTCCCAGCAAGGAGGACCCACAGTCGGTTCACATCAAATCACAGAATCACAGAGCATATGGGCTGGAAGGGACCTCCAGAGGTCATCTAATCCAACCCCCCGCCTGCCATAAGCAGGGACATCTCCAACTAGATCAAGCTACTCAGAGCCTCATCCAGCCTGATCTGGAATGTCTCCAGGGATGGGGCCTCCACCACCTGTCTGGGCAACCTATTCCAGTGGTCTGTCACCTTCATACTGAAGAACATTTTCCTAACGTCTCACCCGGATCTCCCCTTTTCTAGCTTAAAGCCATTACCCCTCGTCCTGTCACTACAAACCCTTGTGAACAGTCCCTCCCCTGCTTTCTTGTAGGCCCCTCTCAGGTACTGGAAGGTCGCTATAAGGTCCCCCTGGAGCCTCCTCTTCTCCAGGCTGAACAACCCCAACTCCCTCAGCCTGTCCTTACAGGAGAGGTGCTCCAGCCCTCTGATCATTTTTGTGGAAAGGAAGAGGCCCTCTACTAGCCAGTGTACTGGTGGCACCAAGACTTAAGCTGTAGCTCTTAAATAAAGAATTCGAGGGCAATCCTGAGAAGCTGAGGTTTTGCTTCTTTATGCTTTTTCCACACATTTTGGCAGCAAGACATCTTCCAAGACTCTGTGAAGAAGCAGCCCAAAAAAAAGTGTTACAAGCCTCAGTGCTTTCACGTCAAATAGCGGTGCCCAGAAATCCTGGAAGACCTCAGACTGTCACTGGTATTTCAAAGAAGATCAGATCTGCTTATCAAAATCATTAAAGTATAAATAAAAAGCAGTTTATTGAGGTGTAGATGGGAAAAATAAGTTGCTGAGCATTTTACTACTTTGATTTCAAGCAAAGGAGTTTAATTACAAGAATAATTTTTTTTTTTAATTATTCTCGTGTTCCAGAAAGACAGTAATAGTTGTGTGCTGTTAAGCTGTGCAGCCATTGTTAAATATAATGTCTTAATTGAACTTCTCAGCCTGGACTTATTAACCAGATAGAAAACAGTCACTTTAGATTTCTCAGGTCAGGTACTGTTTCCTCCCTGCTATGGCCTGTGGGACCTGAAGTGCACAGGAGAAACCTCGGGGGGTTGGGGACTCCCCAGGGAGGCTTTCAGGAAGTTGCTGCATAGTGAACAGTTAAGTCATTCAATGATTGGCTAGTGTGAGCTGCTGTGACACGCCAAGATTGGTTGGTGGAGAACGGGAGGAACTTGTGAAAAGGCATGAAGAGGTTGCACTTCAATGAAAAGGCGGGTTCGTTGTTGGGCTGGGTCTGGGCCTCCTTCACCACAGCAGCCTGACACTGCTGCCAGAGCTGAGGTAGCGATGAGGTCTTGTCATTGGGCAGCAGGAGTTCAGTGGCATCAGCTGTTCAGAAAACAAGCAAGAACAAGTTCGCCTGTGTCTCCTGCTTTTTTAGCTGCAAAGATCACGTGCTGCAGGAGAGTCTCCCGTAATCAGTGTAGTGGCCAGTGTGCTTGTGTCCTGCCTGGCTGGGGTCTGCATGAAGAAGGGTTGTAAAACAGGACTGTGTTTTGACTCTGCTTTCATTTAAGGGGTTGGTTTATTTTCAGAGTTGTCTTTTCTAGTCTTATAAGACATTAATTACAGTAAAAATAATGTACTTAATGCTTTGTGGAGATTGTTGCATCTCCTGGTAAGCTAGGCTGATCCTAAATTCCTCTTTCTCCCACTGCAATTAAAGGGAGACAAACAGGAATAATTTTTCATAAGCCACTCTCAAGGTCCTGTAGATGCATTTGGTGCAGCTTCTGCACATCCACAAAATGTGTGTAACAGTGATTTGTTAACTGACCTTATCATGGTCATCACGCTACAAATTAAATACTGTAGGTGGAGCTTGATGTTAAGCCAGATGTAGGAACATCTTGATGTTAATAAACAAGGAAACAGAAGTCCTATAAATTTATTTTCAGCCTGGCTTGCGTTGCTTGTAAGCTTACCTGTGTTTTTGTTTTTGAAATCTAATACTGATTTCACCTTTAAAAAGTGTATGGAAGCTAACTCAGAGGTTTGCATGTGGTTGTGTGGTGGGTCCCAGCTTGAGCAGCTGCTCCAGCAGGTCCCTGTCCATCACAGCACAGCTGATGTCCGTCAGGCACAAACTCACAAAAACCAACAGCATTGTGCATCCATTATAAACTCCTCATGTAAAAGACGAAATAAGTTTGCTTACCTCTTTCCAGTGTTAAGCACAAAGAATGCCTGAAAGGTTCATTTCCAGAAAATAATTTTGAGCTGTGCTTCTGAAGACCAATAAGCCTTCATGCTTCTCTGGTCTTGATTCTGCCCATAGTCCTTGTGTGGAACCACAGTTAGGGCTTCTGTCTTAGTCCTTTTGCCAGTCTCCTCTGCAGATTTGGACAAGTTGTATTCCTCTGTTTATCTAACCATGCTAATGGGAATAATTGGGTATCCAATACACATCAAAGCGTGTACAATGCCAAGACACTGAAGAGGGAATAGCTGGCAAATGAGTTAGGTTGCTTTGCTAGGCAGTGGTTCTTACTGCTTTTGGGTAACAGGGCAGACTCCAGGTTTCAATCTGGCTGAACATTTTGGTTTGTTTTGGTTTCTTTGGCATGATGAAATCTTCTACAACTCTACACTTTGTCTTCATTCGGCTTCCTTATACAGGACTTGGGTTTGGTTTAGTATTGACTGAATCTTGGGGCTGGTTTATGTGGCCTTTTTCAATCAAGACATCAGCTGGTACCAAGTTATGTTGTCTAATGTCAGTTTCTGTTCCAGCCAGACTAGATTTGGGCAGGCAGAGCAAGCTTTTAAGTTTGAAATAAGCAAAAATGTAGACACTGGAGCCCATATACATTAGTTATGGGCTTACAATTCAATTCAGTGAGCTTACAATTACACTGACATGTAAAATGAAAAAAAAGGTTTTTGGTAAAATATGGGAGGGGGGCAAATAACCTCCTACTTAACAAAAATGTAGACTCAAGGAAAGACTAAAAGGTATCACATTAGCAAATTCTTTTGCCTGGCAAAATATGGAACATGTGAATAGAAAATCAGTAATGCAGGGGCTCCTTAAACCATTTTCAAAGTTTTGTTCCTTCCTGCTTTATGTGCAGGCCTGTTTGTTTCTGTAAACAGTACATGATACAGGAAAAACAAGCAAATGTTGAAGTTAACTTTTTCTTTGAGAAAGTGCTATTTTACTTTCCAAATAATTTCCTATAAATAAATAGTAAATAATCAGCCTTTTTGTAGTTTTCTGTGTTAAAAACATACGAGTTTTGTCCATCCTCACAACTAAGAAATTCATGAAACCACAAAGCAGGGTTGGTATGTTTCATAAGATTAGTAAATCTTATCATTCCAAGTTAGTTTTCTGAAGTAATAGTAATCATGTGCTCCAAGCTCTATTTTACATTCCTTCTAATTTATATTTACCTTATACAGTAGTGCTAATTCATTGACGGTAGCTAGTGAATGAACTGTTAAGGAAGTGTACCAGAAGTGACCTAACAAGCAAGTTATGATTAGGTTAAAGAAAAAGTACCTAATCAGACAAGTACCTGAGGTTTTGATGATCACAGGTGTTCAATTAAAGCGAAAGAGTGAGTTAAAGGGTTTATAAATTATGCCTTCAATGATCCAAAATACATCTTGTATTTTGCTCCTTTTTAGATGTTTGCAAAGAAAGATGGCATGTTCCTAATCCCAAACACTTACTCTAATGTAATATACAGCGTAATTTTTAAGATGATAAAACAAATGTCTTAGGAGGTAATGTCCTAGAGACCCAGCATATTCAGGAGTCCCTGGAATAAGTAAGGACAGATAATTTTTTTCATGTATTTGGTATTTTTCCTGTGTGTACTGAGTTTCTAATAACAGTTACTTCCTATGTTCAAAAATTTGTGTCATGAAAAATGCCTTATTAGTGACATATTAGAAGTGTGTTTTCCCATTTTTTTAGGGGAGAGGAGGCACCTAAAAGTCTTACTTAATGTGCATTCTTTTGTTTTCCTGTACTTTTTTACTATAACAAGAATATATTACTAGACTTACCTCAATATATTGTTTTCAACATGACCAAGGTACATAAGAGAATCCCTGTGTACTTAAAGAAAAATGCAATTATTTTCTATGCTGAATCTCCGGACTGCTGTTTTAGAAAATCATATCTGATTATTTGCTCAGCAGAAGATTATTGAGTTGATTTAGCTGTGATTTTACTTAACAAAGCTTCAACTGAATTCCTACTGTGGAGTCCAAAAAAGGTAGAGAGATATAAATGATACATTCAAACTGTGATTTTTGTGAACAGGGCCATCAATGCACCCCTCGGAGCTAATAGCGGAGATGAGAAACAGTGGGTTTGCACTGAAACAAAATGTGCTGGGGAGAAACTTGACCGCAAATGATCCATCACAGGTAATGATCTTTTTACCGGTAAGCTGAAAATGTCTATAAATCTAAATGTGATTGCCTGTGAATTGCTACTTAATGTTTTCAAATATGCATATCCATAGGAAAGCCGAATAGCTGTACTGGTAGAAAAATGTCCCAAAATTTACTGTTTTCTGGCTTTGTTTTAGTCAGAATGGTGACTCGTAAATTACTCTTTGTAAAACCACATATAATGAATTAAATCCTTCCTCTGAGTGACTAGAAATTGCGTTTTTCATAGAGGGGCTGGCTAGGGGTTTTACTTCCTACTTCTGATCCAGTGCTAGCCTTTGGATGAAAACTGAGGAATTATGCACAAATAATTACTGCCAGGAACACTGTATCTGAAGATTGTTTTAAACTTGATTGACCATTGTTACATTTATTATTTTTGGGAGTGAAAACATTTACTTGTCTTTACTTAGACTGCACAGAGTACATTTCTAATTGAGGTGCTTTAATAAAAATATATAGTGCAAAATTCATATGTGGTCCTTGAGTGAGCCACCGTTCATATGGCAGGATAGTCAAACCACTAGGAAAGAGGGTTGAAAGTGAAACACTGAAATCTTGAGTAAGTCAACAAGTATTTGTGTCTCCACAGATGGATATGCCTTTGCATTTAGAAAAGCTATGCACCCCAGAAAAAATGCAGCATATAGATCGTGTTAAATAATTCACAGTGATACCGGGATGTTTGGTTTATGTTAGGTGTGGTGTGGCTTTTTTTGGAAGAGCTTTTTAATCTTATTTCTTCTTTCCCCTCCTGAGTGTGGCTAAAATTAAAACAATCACAGTGGAGAACTGTAGTGTACCAGATGCACATAATCTGAAGAATTTAGGGTCTTCACTTTGCTGATTGCGTTGCTGTATGTAAGTTATATGATGGCAGTATTTTGCATTGCTAGAGCACTTCATGAGTGTTTAAAGACTAATAACACAACAGTGAGGTAGATCTGCTAATACCCATTTTCCTAATGACTAAACCGAGACAGAAAAGTAATTTGCTTAAATTACTCTGGGTTTGAGCAGGACTAGCATCATCTTACCTATTCATCCAAGCATGATAACAATGGAGTGAGTTATCCTGGGGAATCATGTGGACTCCAAAATTGGCTCATTTTTGTTAACTATTTCAGAAAGGTTTCTGTCCCTAGCAGTGATTTTTTCATATGTTATTAATAACTCCTGTTGTATAACCCCCACCTACTCAGCTGTGAGACAGAACGTGGGAGGAGATCTTGCTTTGTAGCGAGTTTGCTTTTTCCAAAGTCTTCAGATGACTTAGTAATGCAAATATATTTATGCCTGTGCAAAAATAAGGTACACAGAGGCAGCACTTGCAGTAAAGAAATCTGAATGAAGAGATTCTTTTTATATATAAGAATGTAATGTCTTAACACATTTTCCTAGGAATTTGTTGCAAGTGAAGGAGATGATGATCCAGAAGTTGAATTTTTAAAATCACTGTCAACTAAACAAAAACAGAAACTTCTAAGGTAAGTGTGGTAGCTTGTGGAGGGCATCTCTATCACAAGTAATTCTGACCCCACATGATTGTCTCTGTAACTAACTCTTCAATGCCATTGAAGAATTTAGCACCATCGGTGCAGAGAAAAATAAGTTTAAAAATTAGTTTAACGTATACTTGACCATAAATGACATTATGCAGCATGGTTTTTTAATCTGGTTGTTGTTTTAATCTGGCTGTTCTAATCTAGTTGTGATCCATTTGCACTGGGGTTTATTTCCAATTTACCTGGGATACTAAATAACAGTGGGCTCACTGAAGGTGCTGTCAGTTGCTATTTTAAAATACACATTTGTGCTCCGTTGTTTACAGTATCTTCTTCCAGGATTAACAGTTCTATGTTCTGGTTTACTGGTTTACAACTTGGCAAAGTTTGTTACCTTTTCCTGTAACGTTAAACCCAACCTGGCGTTGCTGCCCAGGGCCACGTGGCTCTCGGAGCAGGGTTTGCAGTTTGCTGCTCCAGCAGAGGGAGCTCCCACAAACCACTGGGTTTGTACTTCTAATGAAAATTTCATGAGGTTTTCAGACTTTGTTTCTATCCTGCTGATTTCATATGTCAGGTGACTTACATTTTTTTGACCTCTGTTAATTTGCAATGTTATCTTAAAATAACCTGAAAATATTTTAAATGCAAAATATTTATTACAGGCTGATAGATCCCATCCAGGTATCACTCATTAAAATGGCCTTTTAGGTTAAAAGATGTTCTGTGTGTAGGCAGTGGGAGGAGTCTAGAAAGGTGAATGACAAAGCAGGTACATGAGTAGGTAGGTATGTATGGTATTTGCATATATAATAAATAATTCTCTGAAAAATGTTGGCATATTTTATGTTGCTTTTAAGTAAGGAATGCGTGTGCAGTTTGAGTAACTTTAAAAGATATTTTGTTTGAGCTTCTGCTGTCTCAACACAATGAAGTTTTACTACTTTATATTTTGAAATCTGAAGTTCAGTAAATATTTGGGTTTTACTGGTCTGAAGGGATTTTTCTTAAATGCACTGAAAATAGTTTCACTATGCAGTCACTGATTTTTTGAGAAGAATAAACACAGAAAGCAAATTAAACACTAGGTGAAAACTGTCTGATATCAATGAACACATTGTACATGATGGAATATTGTACTTGTGGCTAGAAAATTTCAATCTCTAGTGACAGAGGAGGTTATTGAAAATATTTGTATTATTTGCTTGGAGATGTAGGCTTTAGAGTCTTCATTTCCATCATTAATAGAAAGTGTTCTAATTGCATTTTTTCATTTTCAAAATCTCTTACAAAAATGCACAAACAAAAGCACCAATGATTTTCCAAAGTCTCCAGAGCAGGATAACAAGGAAAATAAAGCACTACTGAATGTATTTACTTCTAGTGACAAATTGACATATCTTATGTATGTTTTTTAAAATTAAAAAAAAAATCTAAAAATAATATTCATACTGTTTTGGGGGAGCCGCTGTGGATTACAGGAGGATTCTTACTATGGTTATTGTGAAGTTAGGAGTTTGAAAAGAATTCTTTGAAGAAAGAGAAGAATAATTCAGCATGATTTTATGCAAAATTGTGTATTTACTGTGTAAGTCATCAGCAGTAGTGAACTTTAAAAGACAATGAGTTTGTAAGTTAGAGTATCTTCATAACTCTGATTGTGCTGCTTTTATATTTTGGAAATAAAAGGAAGTTGGATCGTCTGGAGAAGAAAAAGAAAAAGAAAGACAGAAAGAAGAAAAAGCAGCAGAAGAAAAAAAGCAAAAGTAAACACAAGAAACATAAGATGAGATCCTCTTCCTCATCCTCCAGCGAGACTTCAGTAAGCAGCAGCGATAGCGAGACTGACAGCAGAGATAAAGCAGCACAAAAGGAGGTGTATTCTAAGAAAAGAAAAAAAGACAAGTTTTCAGAGGCTAGCAGCAGCAGCGATTCAGAAGGAAAGGCAAAGACGAGGAAGGAAAAACTTTATGAAGATCTCTCCAGTAGTCACGGTAACAAGGACAAAGGTAGGGAGCAGCACAGACTTTTAAAGCAAGACAGTTCTGCGGAGAACAACAAATGGAGCTCCTGTGAGGGGGAAAGAAAGTCCAAGAGCAGATACCATAGCACCATCAAGAGAGAGACTGAAAGAAAGGAGCGAGACAGTAGAAGCCAAAGCATGGATGAAGGAAGCAGGAGAAGCCCTTGCACAAGTCACAGCAGCTCCAGGCAAAGGCAAATAAGAAAATGTCCAAGTCAAAGCCCTAGTGAAGAGCAGCACAGGAAAAAGGAAACCAGAAGCCCCAGCGCAGATGTGCGCAGAGAGAAGAGAAAATGTAGAGAGAGCTATGGGGACAAGTGCAGTGAAGTGGAACACAGACAAAAGAGCAGACACAGTAGAAGCAGAAGCAGAGAGAGAGGGAAAAAAAACAGGTAGTACAGGGGACAAGTGCAAACGAGAATGTCTCTGATTTTTGGTGAACACCTTTAACAAGGGCTCAGTTATGTACTGCTGTTTGTTTTCCAGCCTTTCTAACTAGCATTTCCTTCATAAAGCAAATAGTACTGTTTCTATAATGTTGGGATATTTGTAAATTAGGTAATAATGTTATGGTGTTTTTCTTACTTTATAAATACACTTGTTGGCAGATACCTCTTGTATACATGCAGTAATCCATAGACCTGGCTTTAAAATATTTTGGATCAGTATGTGATACTCTTGGTTTTGTCAGTTATTATTTCTGTTTAGATGTGAGGGAAAGCAAAGAGTAATTTAGGAAGAGTCCTGGGATATGCTAAATGCTAGCAAACAGTTGAGACAGTTCTGGATAAAACCACGGCTTCTGATGTCAAAGCATTGTATTCTAGGAGGGTTGTTTGTGTTTTTTTCATCCTGAAGCCTTTTTCCTAAAGTTCCCTGTAAGAGATCAATTTCATGAGTTAAACCAACAGAGAAACATAGTTCACATAAGTGTGTAGCAAACATTTTTTGACCTCCTGCAGTGTACAGCTTGGTCAGGGCTATCTAAACATCTTGAACCCCTGTTGGTATGTGTCAGTACAATGTCAAGTTATTGTTCAATAATCTCTCAAGACATGAAAAGAATATTTACTTCCTCAGCCGTTTCAGGTATTTCATTGTTTGTGGTAGAAAGTTAATGTAAATAGTCATCCATTTGTTTTCATTGAAACAAATCTTTTGGGTGTAAAGATTGTCAGTCATTTCCTGCACACATTGTGATGAACTTCCATAATAAAATACCTTATTCTTTAAAATAATAAGACTTGCTGCCTTCTGCAGAGTTCTGAATTGGTACAAATGCACAAGGCAACACTTCACAAGGGTTTTGTTGGAAAGGAAACGCTTCTCTGCCATGTCAGGGTGGTGGATGGTAGTACCTTACGGGTGAAAAGTTGTCACCATTTGCAGTATTGTGGCAAGCAGCCGCCTTTGCCTCCCCACTTGCAGGGCAAAGGAGATTATCTTTTATTACCCAGTCCACTTCTACTTAAAACAGTCACTCAGAAGTTTTTCACTATTGCACAATGTAATAGATGGTGGCAGTGACTTGGCTTAACTTTTAAGTGCACATGAATGAGTTTGAAGGGTGAGCCATTAAGGGATGTCACCTTTTAGATATGTTTGTGCTAGGTTGCTCCAGGCATGCCTGTTGAAGTAGCTGGGAGTTAAAGGGTGCACACAATTCAGCAGTCAGGCCCTGTATTAATGTGTGTGTAAGCTCTGATTTGGAGCAAACAGAAAGAATAGGAGGAGACAACCAAAACGCCCATATGAACAATCTAAACAAAACCTCTTGTGAAGAATTTATTATCCTCCTGTGTAAGAAAGGACAGAGTAATGTGACAAGGAAACTGCATGTTCTGGTAGAACATTTTCACGTTAAGTGCAGCATGAAACATCTAAGGAATAAACAGTAAGAAGTGGAAGGTGCCTGTCTGTTGTGTGTGGCACAGAAATCTGCCCACCAGCGTCTTGCCAGCTTGGCAGCTGCAGTGCAACTGACTTCTACTTAAGGAAGGAAGGACAGCTCAACGTTGACAGTTACAGGCATTTTTGTGAGCCCTGCATTTAGTTCACATGTAGTTAAGGCATTATGCTATGTACATCTTCCCTTTTTCTCAATGGGAAAAGACTGGCAAATGGCAAGGGTTTGTCGTGAGGGACGGCTGTAGTGAGTGAAAACTAAACCGGAAGAACAATCACATTTTGAACTGGTAGCCCAAAGGCTACCAGTTGAAGAGATTTGAAACAGAACAACCATCCTTGTGACACCTTTCCTGCTTCCAGGGCAGCCCTGGGAGCCTTGGGGAAGGCCGGTGCAGCTCTGGAGGAAGAGGCTCGCTGCTCTCGTTGCTTTCCTTAGGCCAGTTTGTGCCGCCTTACTGCTACGCGGAGCGGCCCTCGGCGTCCAAGGCGGCCGTGGAAGGGTCGTCGAGGCGGCGTTTCCGCGGCTTTCCCGCAGAGGCTGCG